GCTTGAATTTTGCTATAAGAAACTGATGAATAGAGCCACAATCAGCTCCAGGTCTTGTTTTTGCTGACTGTATAGAGCTTCTCCATCTTTGGCTGCAGAGAATATAATCAATCTGATTTCGGTATTGCCCATCTGGTGATGTCCATGTGTAGAGTCGCCTCTTTGTTGTTGGAAGAGAGTGTTTGTGATGACCAGCTTGTTCTCTTGACAAAACTCTGTTAGCTTCGTTTTGAACTCCAAGGCCACACTTACCTGTTGTTCCTTTTATCTCTTGACTCCCTACTTTAGCATTCCAGTCCCCTATAATGACAAGAACATCTTTCTTTGGTGTCAGTTCTATAAGGTGTTGTATATCTTCATAGATTTGGCCAATTTCAGCCTCTTCAGCATTGGTGGTTGGTGCATAAACTTGGCTTACTGTGATGTTGAAGGGTCTGCCTTGGATTCATATTGAAATCATTCTATCATTTTTGACATTGTATCCCAGTACAGCTTTTCCCAATGTTTATTCTTGTTTGACCACCTCCAACTTACCAAGGTTCATAGATCTTATATTCCAGGGTCCTATGCAGTATTTTTCTTTGCAGCATCGGACTTTCCTTTCACTTCCAGGCGCGTCCGCAGCTGAGCAACCTTTCGGCTTTGGCCCAACCACTTCATTAGCTCTGGAGCTACTTGTACTTATCCTCCACTCTTCCTCAGTAGCATGTTGGATGCCTTCCGACCTGAGGGGCTCATCTTCCAGCATCATATCTTTTAGCCTTTTGTTTCTGTTCATGGGGTTTTCTTGACAAAGATACTGGAGTGGCTTGCCAATGCCTGCCCCAGGTGGATAGCGTTTAGTCAGAACTCTCCCCTATGACCTGTCCATCTTGCGTGTCCCTGCACGGCATAGCCCATAGCTTCTCTGAATTACTCAAACCCCTTTGCCACGACAGGGCAGCAATCCATGAAGGGGATTCCCAACTAGACCTCGGCAATCCTTGAATTCTCTATATATGAAGATATAGAGAATTCATATGTGAAGTACTAACAGAAGAATGGGTTGTTCTGTGAATATGTACTGGTTGGAAGATCATTCAGTGTTGCCCCTGCATATCTGTAATTAGGGAAAGAGGTTCTGAGTGTGGATAAGACTGACAGATGATTTCAGAACAGAAGAAAAAAAAACCCACACAATATTTCATTTCTGGAATATTACGCCACAAAGAAGACATTAGGAGGAAATTAGACAAATTCAAGAGCAGTCTTTTGATGACTTAACTAAATAGAGCTACCATGTTTAAAGCTAATGAACCTCCCAATATCAGGCAGGGGGATCAAGGGAATGCTTGTGGGCTTTCCAGGAGGACCAAACCAGCCACTACAGGAAACAGCCTGTTGTCGGTTTGAGCCAATGAGATTCTTACATTTGTTATAAGAATGATAGCTGGATAGAAATCCGGCATTCAGAAGATATGTATCCCTTGAATAGTAGATTCTGAAGGCAATGAGAGGAGATTCCTGTCTCTCTTTGTTGGCTACTGTAGAAGACAAGATGCTGGAATGCTTGTGGGCTTTCCAGGAGGACCAAACCAGCCACTACAGGAAACAGCCTGTTGTTGGTTTGAGCCATTGAGATTCTTACATTTGTTATAAGAATGGTAGCTGAATAGAAATCCAGCATTCAGAATATATGTATCCCTTGAATATTAGATTCTGAAGGCTATGAGAGGAGACTCCCCTGTCTCTGTTGGCTACTGTAGAAGACAAGATTCTAGATAAGATCTAGTCCGGCAAGGCTGCTCTGTTTTAGGGATGTGATTTCCAAGTTTTCAGAACTTTTGAGGTCTTCCTGCCTCTTCCTTTAATGCCTGTTGCAGGGCAACGTTGTCATTAAGCAGTGAACAAGTTTGAGATTTCCAATAAAAGGAAGCACATTGTTTGTCTCTGTTGGCTACTGTAGAAGACAAGATTCTAGATAAGATCTAGTCCGGCAAGGCTGCTCTGTTTTAGGGATGTGATTTCCAAGTTTTCAGAACTTTTGAGGTCTTCCTGCCTCTTCCTTTAATGCCTGTTGCAGGGCAACGTTGTCATTAAGCAGTGAACAAGTTTGAGATTTCCAATAAAAGGAAGCACATTGTTGTTTGTTTTAATCATCTTGTTTTTCCGGCAAGGGATGTGATTTCCAAGTTTTCAGAACTTTTGAGGTCTTCCTGCCTCTTCCTTAATGCCTGTTGCAGGGCAACGTTGTCTTTAAGCAGTGAACAAGTTTGAGATTTCCAATAAAAGGAAGCACATTGTTGTTTGTTTTAATCATCTTGTTTTTACTGTCCGGCAAGGCAGGGGAGATTTTTCTTTTCTCGTATACCAAAATAATTTGACTATTGTGAGGTACATTGGCCAGCAGAGATACTCTTTATACTTTTTCCTCGGGGAAGTAACATGGCTTGGGCCACATCTGACGTGTGGTGGTTATCCCCACCTTCCTTTATTATAGTTATGCGCCGTCAAGTCGTTTCTCACTGACGGCGATCCTACGATTTGGGTGACCTCCAGAAGGATCCTCTCATTATTAACACCTTTCTGTATAATCCGCTTTTCCCTCAGTGCCAGTAAGAGGAGTGGCACATCCGCGCCCCAACACCCTAACGAATGCTCTACACAACAGTAACCCGTGTGGTGTGTGTGTCGTCTTTATTATAGTTATGCGCCGTCAAGTCGTTTCTCACTGACGGCGATCCTACGATTTGGGTGACCTCCAGAAGGATCCTCTCATTATTAACACCTTTCTGTATAATCCGCTTTTCCCTCAGTGCCAGTAAGAGGAGTGGCACATCCGCGCCCCAACACCCTAACAAATGCTCTACACAGCAGTAACCCGTGTGGTGGTGGTGTGTGTGTGTCGCGGTGTTGTGTGGCAACACCCTGGAAAGGGACGAGCCCTCACCCTCACTCTCACCACCCACTCAACCATCCCCTGCGGGCGCTT